CATCGTTGACAAGGGCCTGAAGGGAACTATCTGTGGCAATGCGTCGGCCGCATGCAGCGGTAATATCCAGCTGGCCGCGTAAGAAGCCGCCCGGCCGAGGAGTAATCTTGATACTGCCTGCTTTTGGGCCCGTATTTGTTAAAAAGAACCAGAACGGCCAGGGAGCTGAGGATATGAGCCGCAAATAGACTTTCCGCTCCAGTCACACCCGCATATTACCAAATTCAGAGGGACAAGGCCATGGTGCATAAGAGGTCCCGATTGACGCCAATAGTGGTAAGGCAGGATATGATAAATTGCCCGGTATCAGGCTGTTAAATCCGCCTCAATATCCCTTACCCTGTTAGGCCCTGAATCAACCTAATCAGCGTCTCTCGGTTGCCACTCAATGGTCTCACCGTCGCTCACGCCCAGTGCTGTTTGTCTTCTTTGGATCATCTTTAGTTTGTTTACCGAAATTACAGACACTACTCCGTGTCAAACAATAATCCCAGAAAGGTAAACAATATGCCTCATCTTCATCCTTGCGGAAAACACCCACGTGCTTCCGCATGTAGCCACACTGACATTGCTGCGCAGAGCAAAGGGCCAGGCAGCAAGGATAGGGCGACATAGCCAATCATATGGATAGCCTCCGACTGCCATTGGACGGTTGCATGCAGTACAAGTCCCTATGTACCATGTCGTGTAGAGATCTTCGAATCGGGTTTGCGTATTCTGATAAGTGACGGGTAGACAAACCGTCGAGCCATCGATAGATACTGATCTCCAGTGCTTTGATAATTACTTAGGAGCTCATATATCATAATATTACGCTCAAGGTAGAGTTCTTTCAATCCGTTCGACTTTTCAATTCAATTTCTGAGCAAGCTGCATCGCATCCAGATGTGAGGCTGGATGTACGATCGAACGAGAGTGTATGTTCTTGGGCCGTGCGTATCGTGCTACCGCTTTGTCAAACCGCCACCTGGAGACAGACCCTTGCCCTAAGTAACGCGCATTGACACATCTCCACGTAGCAGTTTGAAGTTAGACCTCAGCTGGGGATGTCGCAGCCACTCATAAGAGGCAATGGAAGCGGACTTCGCCGCAGCCTGCTTCTAGTGTCCACGCGCTGCCCTTATTCGTTTACACGTGCATGATACGGTACGCGCCTCGTCGAGAGATGGATCCCGCGAAATTGGTGGTGCGGACTGAGGACCAATCCCAAGCGGCTGCCGTCGGATCTTTTCCACAGCCTCTTCTTTTCAGTTCGATTTCCTTTTTCTGTCGCCCTTCTTCTGTTCACCGGTCGGCGTGGCGGTATAGCATGGCTGAGCTGCGTATGTAATGCTCTGTATACTCCCTACTTATACTCCCAGGGGCAAAGAGGGATACCGCTCGTGGTCGCGAATCTCGTATTTTGTAACGTAAATCCACTCAGTGTTCCCATAGCCAGCCATGGCTCTGGCCAGAAAGACCAAAGCACTAGGACGGTCCCAATGACACTGACCACCCTCAGGCACTTGTTGAGCTGAATTCTTCACATTTCTGCAACAAACTCACGGCAACCTGTATTTTTGATTCGACAAATCATTTTTCCTTCTTCCCTCGACTTGCTGCTCAGACCAAGAGTCGGTCGGCGTGTTCATGCAAGTCGACGGCGAGCGATTGCCGAAAAGGCCATAGTAGAGCAGGCAAGTATGGCGTTTGTAGTAGTAGCTACTCTTATCTTATGATCCAGTCTCCACGCAAATAGATGAGCCTTTTACCAGTCTCCATTGCCGTCTTTATCGGCAAGACCTATATTGTTCCATGGCTATCCTTGCATGTTCACTAAATATCGCCCCATACCCCAGTGAGCTGATACGGGCGATTGTAAAGGCCAAAGCAAGAACGAGTAAAGATACGGATGGGAAACTAGGATAGGCATTAATAGCCTATAGCGGTTGTGGAACTCGTTATCACGGCCTGAAAACCGTAACAATAATTGTAATGTGCTTCATCTTTTGGGTATCCAAGAACAAACTAAGTTCTGGCGAGATCCTTGTGAGAAAATACATGATGATATAATGCGATTAGATAAACACGCTGTCAACTTAAAATCGCCTCTTCTTTTTGGCAGGACCGGCTGTCGTTTTTCGCTGAAGCTCATTCTTCAATTCTTCGCGCCTCCTATCGGCGCGTTCCTGTGAGGTTTCTCTAGGTTGATCCTCAGTTTGGGACTCTTCGCGCTCAGCTGGGCGGCCTCGTTTTGCAGTGTTGTCCCCTATTGACGTTTTTGAGCCCCCAGTATCAGCTTTCCTTCCGATGACTCCCATTTTTTTTGGGACCTGAGGCTTTCTGGTTGCCTGTTTCTCAGTGTCCTCTTTCACGTCGGCAGCTTCTGCCGTTTCTGTGGCACGCGCTTTTGCCGCAGCGCCGCCAATGCGCCCTAGCCCTCCCGCCTTAATGGTGTGTTTGGAAGGAGCTGGCGCGGGTAAAGAAGATGATGGGCCGCGACTTGTACTCATTTCATCATCGCTAGCCTCAGATGCTGTCTCGTCCTCATCTGCTGGGACTGGTATCGTAATTGGTGGTAAGCCATTTGTCTTGGTATCTTGTGATGATGCAGCGTTCTTTGCACTGGGCTCTGGTGGAAGCTTCACTGCCAATTCCTCCTCATCTTCTGTTGACGCATCATCAGCAATCGCTATAGGCGAACTCTTGTTTTTTGACTGAAGATGAGGAGGCGTGGGTTGAACTTGAAAATCATCATCGTCTTCCATGTTTATCGATTTAGTAGATGGCGATGGCGATCTTTTCGTAGACGATGCCATTTGTTGTTTGCTACGACGCACCAGTTGTGATGTGCCCTTGAAGTCATGCCACCACTTATCCAGTGCTGGAGAAGCGTCTACCTGTATCAAACATCGTTTGTTCAGGCCTTCTCCGCCAAACACATTCCTTGCAAGATCACCAACATCGGTTGGGCTGTTGTCATCTGATTTGAGGCTCGCTTTCCACTTCTGTTTGCGAAAAGGGGCTAGTCCCTTTACCTTCTCTTCTGCTGCGCTCCTCGTCACTTTCCTTTTCCCTGAAAGAGCCGTGAAAACGTGCTCCAGGCCAGTGCCGGTCGCTTCCAGCTTATCGGCCAGCTTGGTTATGACTGTATCTTTGTGATTCATCTCCTGTAATAGCGCTTCGACTTCTTGCTTTCTAGCGAATTGTGCCTCAAGTAGAGGTAAGACGAGATCAGTAGCAATAGCCGACGGAGGAGACTTCTTAAGATGAATAGGCCATTTCAGGGGCTGGAATCCTGGGAGCGGGCAAGTAACCAGGAGGGATAGGCCGTCTTCGCCAGCTTCTGCGGAAGAGCCTGGTGACAGGGTGAGAGCAGTCTGCTCATGACCCGGTTGAGTGGGATCTAGGGCCGATCTCAAGCTACCAAGGAATTTGGCCATGTTCTCAGGCGTGTCACTCGGGTCAACACTTGTGTTCTCGCTCCACCCTCTCATGAAAATGGCCTTTCGGTCCAGGCTTTCGACCCAAATATTGGCCAAATCAGTGATTCGAACAGTGTAGGCGGCGGTGCCAATATCAACCGATACCAAAAGCACGGGGATGTCAGATGATGATGCCTGCGGCAAAGGCTGCCATGTCAAATCGCCAGCCATGGCGTCACAAAGGGGGCCCAGTGGCGGCTGTGATGAGAGAACAGCGCCGTGAGGTCAAAGTCGAAAGGGCCGCGTGCTCGTGAGGCAGCCCCGTGTGCACCAAGGGAGATTCTCGGTGAATACAAGCTGGGGAACCTGGTGATCCGTGGCCAAGGTTGAAGATGCAACAGAGGCGGCGTCACACTGGGGGACGTGCGCAACGGATCTGTCTTGCTGCGGCAGCGGTTGGACAGCTCTTTGGCTAGCAAAATTAAACCTTTCTTGAGAAGAAAGAGCTCCAGATATCAGGGAACGCAGGACAGGTCCACCTTGTGCCACGACACAATTTAGGGCCGACACTCTGTTGTTGATTTCGTGTAGCTTTGTCGTAGGCTCAGGTTGATTCTCATCCAAAACTGGCTCGGCAAGGCGCTCGTGTACGACACGGGATGTCTCTCCAGAAGCCGAACTAGCGTTGGAGCCGGTATTGTTCTGGAAATGAGGCAGAACGCGTCAAGTCAAGGCCCAGTGCAGTGGCGTCACGGCCTCATCCTTGCTCTGCGCAGGAATAGCGGTGGTGTGGCGCTGCATTCTAGGTATCCACGGATGATGCCTGTAGGCCCATCAGCTGGCGCATCCTGCTTGACAGCTGGCGGCAGCTGTTGGAGCCCAAGACAAGCTTTTCGATCTCTGATGGTGTAATTTGGATGGCAAAAGGAAAAAGAGATGGCAGACTAAAGAAGGCTAAAAAGTTGAATCCATGATAGCTTTCTAAATTATCCAAGGCGTCACTTGCTTCTTTCCTATTTTGTTTTTGCAAGTTTAATCGTGCGCCAAGCACTGCAGGTATGAGTCCTTCAGCCAAAGCTGGCAGGCACCACGTGAAATGTACTAGGAATTGCAATAGCGGCGCTTTGATAGGGCTTGTGCCAAGTATCGAGAACACCCAGCTACCTATAGCAAGGAGAGTGCCAAGGTACTAAGCACTCCTAGGTCTGTGTACAATTCTCAACCGCATTATAGACATCCAGCTGATGGCTCATGCATTGTTCAGGGAGTGTAGCGGTCAAATATAAATGTGTATGCGAGTTTTCGATGCTAATTTGTTCGTGCTACTGCTTAATCTCCGCCTTGTCTTGCTACTTACGCAGGGATACCAAGCCACTGAAATCGCACTGACATGGCACCAGCCAAAGTCCCGATCTCCAGACGCCAATGACGCAGGCCACATCGAGGCCATATCTCAAAACCGTGAATTTAACGTCTAATAAGTAAAGCATGGGGTAATTGATTTAAATTCACGCGAATCTCAATTCATGCATCCTAATTTTTTTTGAACCACCGCTACATCGTCAATATTATCCTACAAAAATCCAGTGTGTGTAAATGCTCGCGAGGAGCGTCTATGCGTTAGCCCGATCTCAGATCACAAGCAGGAATTATCTGCCATCACTTTCGTCATATTCTAGACTTTTTCAACTAAAATTTACCTTCTCTACAATGCCTCCAAAGGGCTCCAAGAGGAGAACAGCCTCCCCTGTGGGCAAAGCCAATGGAGTTGAGACCAAAAGAGTGAAACACGGAGACAACAAAGATGAGCTCTGCCAACCTCACCCATTCGCAAAGGATGCAGAAGAACATGGCATCGTCCTACGACGCTTCTATCCCCATGAAATGAGCACTTCTCGAGCTTATGCATACAACGATAATGAAATTGAAAGGCCAATAGAAGGACTTATTGCGGCATTGGAAGAGACAGCCGGAGCTCGAAAGCAAGCCAGGGTCCGGCACGCTGTTGTTCATTGGTTCAAAATGGATCTTCGTCATTCTGATAATCGGTCACTCGCATTGGCAAGTGCTAAAGCTAAAGAAGCTGGCGTTCCTCTCATTTGCGTTTATATCATAAGTCCTCAAGACTTCGAGGCCCATCTTACGTCGCCGGTCCGGGTAGACTTTATGTTGAGAACGTTAAGCGTTCTCAAAGATGACCTGGCGGCTCTCGATATTCCTCTCTATGTGGAAACTGTTGATAAGAGGAAGGACATTCCACATCGCATGTTGGAGCTCATGGAAGAATGGGGAAGCAACCACCTCTTCGCCAACATGGAATACGAAGTTGACGAACTGCGACGTGAAGCTCGTATGATTCACCAGTTTGCCGAGAACAACATGTCTTTTGAGGTGGTTCATGATACGTGCATTGTACCGCCAGGACAGTTACATACTGGTGCAGGCAAGCAATATGCTGTTTACACTCCTTGGTATCGAGCTTGGATGGCTCATATTCATGAGAACTTGGATCTCATCGAGCTTTATGATCGACCGGAGAAAAATCCAGATGCTGCGCGACGAACCTTCAAGACGCTCTTCGATTGCCGAATCCCAGATGCACCAAAGAACAAGCAGCTCAGCGATGAGGAGAAAAAGAGATTCCACGGTCTGTGGCCCTGTGGCGAACATGAGGCCATGTCGAGATTGGACAAATTTTGCGACGATGCAGTCACAAGCTATCACGATAAGCGAAATATCCCTGGGGACAGCGGGACGTCAGGCCTGTCTGTACATCTTGCGAGCGGGACAATCAGTTCCAGGACATGCGTTCGGATAGCCAGGGACAGGAATAAAACTAAACGATTAGACGGCGGCCATCAGGGTATCCAAGTTTGGATCAGCGAAGTAGCCTGGCGAGACTTTTACAAGCACGTTTTGGTTCACTGGCCATATGTCTGGTACGTATATAGCTCGTGGTTCTCATCAACTAGATCGACCGCTAACAGTGTTCAACCAGTATGAACAAGCCATTCAAGCCCGAGTATGCGAATATCGAGTGGTCTTACAACATGAATCATTTTGAAGCATGGTGTGAGGGGCGAACTGGATTCCCCATTGTCGATGCCGCGATGCGTCAGCTCAATCACATGGGATATATGCACAACCGGTGTCGAATGATTGTCGCTTCGTTTCTGTCCAAAGACCTGTTGATTGATTGGCGCATGGGTGAGAAGTATTTCATGGAACACTTAATTGATGGCGACTTTGCGAGCAACAACGGTGGCTGGGGGTTCAGTGCCAGTGTTGGCGTTGATCCACAGCCCTACTTCCGCGTCTTTAACCCGTTGCTCCAAAGTGAAAAGTTCGATTCAAGCGGCGAGTACATCCGCAAATGGATTCCTGAGCTAGGGGCCTTGAGCGACAAGGAGATACACGATCCGTATAACCGAGGTGCTGGCACCAAAGCGAAAAAGCAGGGCTATCCGAAGCAAATAGTCGATCATAAAGGCGCAAGGGAGCGTGCTCTGAGCGCATACAAGGCCGGGCTCGAGAGTGGGATCTAGAAGAAATTGAATATTGAAAACGGTTCACCTGGTAGTTTAATAGTGTCAATTAATAGTGTCAATTCGTACTTGACGATCTAAGCATGTTTGACCCGTATCTGTACCATGACGAGCAACTTAACCGCCACAGCTTTTTGAAGGCCAAATTTAATTAATCTTCGGCTTGGGAACTATCGGAGCAGCTCTAGAATCCCCGACCAAAGAAAGCATGTAAGTGCTCGCTCGAGGAGACTTTGCTAGCCGGTGTGTGTTTATAATGAGGCGGGGAAAAAGGAAAAAAGTCTTTAATAAACATCACATCCGAATCGCATATTTGAACGTCGAAACTTTTGTCTTGAAACGGAGCCAAAACGCCTTGAATTGGGTTTGCTACATGCAGCCAACTCTAGTTTCCACGCCCACCTTTCATACCCATGCTAATCCCTATTCGCGAGGTCAGTCAACCTGCTGTTTCGTATTTCGATGCCGTTCGTTCCCGGTGCCTTCGTACCTCTTCCAAATTTTGATTTTTTTGAGAAATTTATCGCTGGGCGCTCCAGACGGCCTTGACGAGACCATCACGCTGAGCCAATCGGTTCAGAGAGTCGTCGGACTCACCCATGGCACGGACGAAGCCGCACAGGGCGTAGACGTGGTTCTCGCCGGGGACGGCACGGCCGTTCTCGTCAACCTTGGCGATGGAGATCTGGACGGAGCCGTGGTCCTTGGCCTTGATGATGCGGTTGGTAGCGCTGCACTTGCGCGGGACGTAGCTGGACGGGCATGAATCAGTATTTCGGCATTCCTTCAGCAGGACATCGTATAGGTCCTTACAGGTCGACGATCTCGCCACGGTCGTTCTCCATTTTGGCTGTGAGGAGGGGTAGTGTGGTGGTGTAGAGGAGTTGAAGATGCGGAAAGATGGTACTGAGCCTTTTGCTGGGGCCAAAAAATCACCAAATTACTAAATTTCGAATAATTTTCGTGTGCGGATGTGTCATGTGATTTGTGGGTCGATATACCAAGTTAGACTGTGCCTGTAGTCCACTATTGTTCAATGTTACTTAGTAATCAGCTTACTACCTAGGCATATATGCTATCTATAGCCAAACGAGAAGGTTAATGAGACTTACAGTCTAGTTTTGAGAGGCAAAATACGGTACTTGATTATCAAAGGGGTAATTGGGGAATAAAGTTATTCTCTCTACTCGCGTAGTCTTTATCAAACCTGAAAATGCCTGGTGTTTGCTTTGGTAGTTACTCGGGTCGTAGTTTGGAGTCAGCGTCAAGTGGAAATTACCAGTACATCTTGCCCCCTAGTAAAGAAGGACAAAAAAGAAAAGCCATTGAAGTGATTTTAACAAAAATCGAAATAATACGACATCAATGGTCTTGATAAATTTACTATTGTAGGGTCCTTGGATGCTCGATGCGCACCTTGATGCTGAAGAAAAGTCATCTAGCCTGTCATGTGATCACGCGGCGGTCACGCGTTTTGTTGGCTACGGGGGGCACCTCTGGCTAATTGACGATCGCATTGACAACATCGGCTCCAAATTCCGGGGAAGGGCTGGCATCAGAGGGCCGAAGCAGAGAAACATTCATCTACCATGAGAGCTGTTTGGTTCATGTGACTGCGATCAAACACGTTGACTGGGTTACTGCGCGCCAACTATCTGAGATGCGCTTTGCGCTCTCAGAGGTTTGCTGCAGGCATGATGGCATCCCCTAATGCCTTTCTGCCCTCACCGTCACGAAGTGCTAGGCAGACGTCGCATTTCTTCCGCTCTTCATCTCCCGACTTGCCTTTTATTGGAGATATACTATCGCCTGGCGTCAGGATCCGGCCACCTACAGTTGGTGACAAAACACTGGTAATCTCATCCGACGAAGAGTCAGCAATCAAAGGTCGCGATAAAAAGAAGCGCTCCAAAAATCTGACTGCGGGACCGACTCCCTCAATCTCGAATAGGTCTGGTACCGCCGATGATGGTGACAGTTCTTTGTGCATTATTGAACCTCCCGCTACACACACTCCGGTGGCTCAGAGAAATCATGTGGCGCCACCAAGGTTCAGATCACAATCTAGCTCTCCAACAAAAGACCAGCCTTGGAAAAAGTTCAAGTCAAAAGCGGACAATTCTCACAGCGACAGTCCTGAAGTCCGGGAGCCTGAATCTGGCGATATCAGAACTATATCAACTCCACGGCCAGCAAGCAATCCGCCTCCAATAGTGCAGCCAAACTCCAAGCGAGATATAAATGACATCAAGGAGCCGCTAAGACTGGAACCGGCCATGGTTCGAAGACTGGACTGGACGCCTCCATCTAATAAGTCTTCGACCATTCATGAAGTACAGTCTTCTTCTGCTATTAAGGATACGCATTCGCCAGAACTTCAAGAAGCAGACAAAAACTTTGAACAGATCCTCGAAGCCTACAAATGTGCAGATAGCTTACAGCAAAATGTTTCAGCTCCAGGAGAAGGGGCCAATGTTTTGGGAAAGCGAAAGCTTCTCGAGATGGTTGTCACAACTGCAGCACCCGCAGCTGTATCTACTGAAGTTGAAGAAAAGGCCCCTGTGAAGCAAAAGGCGCCAAGGAAAAGACCACGCACCATAACAGAGCTTGCAACTTCAGCGTACAGGAGGCCAGACCCGCTTCAGCCAGTGCCAGCAGCGGTAAATGATTCTACTATCACAATCACGCACAATGACACAGATGATACAGCCGCTCAAGAAGAATCCAAGAAAAAGACTAAAAGGAAAACAACAAAAGCTGCGGCCAAGAAGAAGAAGAAGCCGTCACCACCTTCACCAATTCTGCTTGCCCCAGCAGAGGCGCTTCAAGAAGTTGCGAGGCAAGATTTTGTCTTTGGAACATCGAGCCAATTAGCGATTGAAAACTCACCCACCTTTTTGCGAGATCTTCAGGCTGCGATGAGGCGCTCGAACCGAGTTGACTACGTCAATCTTGACAGCCCTCTGAATGATGACGGTATCGAGCTTCCAGAGCGAAAAAGGTTGTGGGCTGCTGGCGCTCGTGACATTGATGGAGACTTGTTTGATCTTGAAATCAACAAGATTATGGAGAGGTCATCTCAGCCATTGCCCGCGCTAGATCATGATGAAGATCCATTTGGCTACGTTGGCGGAGATACAAACATTACGCTACCTGCGAAGAGTGGCGTTGGAGCCCAAACTGGGCTACCAAGCAGCCCCCTTATTAACACCAATGAAGTTTTACCTAATGGCGCCAAGCCCATCGAAATCAACGATGGCTCTGTATTAGCAGGTGGCGGGATTCCAGTTGAATCTCCCCAAAGGCAGGTGTCCAAACCGGCTGATGGAACTCAATCTTTTAAAACGCACGAACCTCGTGATCCAAGCAACCCGGATCACACCCAGCCACACAGTTCGAAACCCTCATTTGAACTGTTTACGGATGCTCAGCTCTCCAAAAAGGTTGCTTCATACGGGTTCAAAGCCATCAAATCACGCCAAGCAAAAATCTCTTTGTTAGAGCAGTGTTGGCAGAGCAAGAGCAGTATACAGCAGCCCAACTCTACGAGAAATGTTACTACTTCCGCAGCCACAGAAAAAAGCACGTTGGACAACAGCGTCCGAACTCCACGCGGAAGACCGAGGAAGAATAGCGCCTCCAGTACACCGGAGATACAAGAGCCACCGCCGTCTGCACAACCTCCTGTGTCTCCGTCAAAGCCTCGTGGGAGACCTAAGAAGTCTGTTACTGCTGCCAAACGCATCACAGCGGGTCCTTCGAAAGGGAAAAAGGCTTCGCCAAAGGCGTCAATAGAAACTCCAACAGCACAAAAGCGCAAACCAAAGGCGACCAAAGTCATTGTGGAGATTCCGGATTCAGCATCGGATAGCGAGCACAGTCTATCCCCAGACCCGGCTTCCTCTCCGGGGCTTCCTTTTTCACAACCTCGTGTGGACCTCTCCACATCTGTCATGGACGACACAGATCTCAACCTGTCTGGAGATCAATCGCTCGGTTACGAGTACATCACTAAAGCCGTGCAGTCAGCACCACGGACAACGGACCCGAGAAATCCTTCTTGGCACGAGAAAATCTTGCTGTACGACCCGATTGTACTCGAAGATTTCACGACGTGGCTGAATTGCGGGCAACTAACACGCGTGGGCTTCGATGGCGAAGTGAGCACGATGGAAGTCAAGCAGTGGTGCGAGTCTAAGAGTATATGCTGTCTGTGGAAAGTAAACCTGCGTGGCAAGGAGAGGAAACGGTATTAATGAAGAGCACGAGCACGAGCACGAGCACGAGCACGAGCACAAGCACGAGCATGAGCATGAGCATCTGGAGTTTTTTATGGGCAGTTTTTCTTTTCTCTTTTAGTTTTTCTATACCTTGTATATAGGATTGTATATAGTCTAACGCTTCCAACGACACATGCTTCAAATTCCACCAGTTGCCGACCGAAGCAGCATCATGTCTCTCACCAAAATACATGGATAGCTTATCGCCGAATACATATATGGCTTATCACCATCGATGGCCCGTTTATTGCCGTTTTGTAGCATGAGATCGGGCCCCATATCTCGGAGCGCGGAGTCGCATTCGTTACGGGGTCTTACAGGCAAAGGCACGCTTCCCCGCAAAATCGAACCGTGGAGCCGGACCTCGGTTCCAGCTTCTGTACCTTGTCGCGCAGCCACATTTGTGAGGACAGCTCTGAAGGTACCTAATATCTCACCCCAGTCGTCTCTTTTGCTGCAATTGCAATGATATCGGCCTCATACACCGTGAGCAGGCCATTGTCTCTTCGCATCAGCAGCTTGGCGTCATCAGCACAAAGACCAATCATGGCTTCAAAACCGCCGACCTGGACGCGTCTCTACGCACAGCCCGCTACTCCACAGCCAGAGAAGAGCTCGGAAAAGAAGCCAATTCCTGAGCCGCGGCCTAGTGCTTCCATTGTGCTGCTGTCTCCCACCAACGAGGTCTTGCTGCTGCATCGAGTCAAGACGTCGACTTCGTTTGCGTCTGCGCATGTCTTCCCTGGCGGCAACTTGGATGCGTTCCACGATGGCGATATCCCAGCTCCCGGGACGCATGAGCGCCATCGCGACGGTCCGGCGTATAGGCTGGGCGCTATCCGGGAGTGCTTTGAAGAGACGGGAATTCTGCTCGCCAAGAAGGATGGCCGGTTGGTTGATCTGCCGCAGCAAGAGAGGGACGAGGCGAGGAAAAAGATTCACGGGAGCCAGATCAAGTTTGCTGATTGGCTGAAGTCAATTGGCGCAGAAGCTGACCAAGGTTTGTTCTGAGCAGCTTCATCGACCTTCGTCCATAATTATGTTAATCTAACGATTCGTGTTTTAGATGCGCTCATTCCCTTCACGAGGTGGCTGACGCCCGTCGGCGTCGGTAAACGCTTCACCACTCAGATGTACTTGTACATGCTCCCCATTTCACGGTCTGGGATACCATCCGAGATGCTGGTCCCAACTCCCGACGGCGGCGTCGAGCACACCGAAGCCATCTTCGCCCCTCCGCAGACGTTCCTCTCACGCGTGGCCTCCAATGAGATGATCCTATTCCCGCCTCAGTACTACATCCTGACGCTTCTCACAAAGTTCCTCAAAGGCCCGACTATCTCAGTCGAGGAAGGGCCCATTCATTATACAAGGCAGCGCAAACAGCTTCTCAAATTTGTAAAAGCCACTCCGACGGTAGATACGGAAAAGGCCAAAGATCATGTTACGTCAAGCATATCGTGGGCGGACAAGGTGATTAGTCCATACCACTTGTTTGTCAGGAAGAGCGACAAGAGAGTCGTCTTGGGCTTGGAGAAGCCAGGGCTTGAGCTGAAGGATTCGGATAGGGGCGGTGATTGGGAGAGAGTGGTGCTGGTGAGCTTTGGCAAGGCTGGGCCTTCTCAGGTGGAGGTGCGCCTGAGGGAGGATGTACTCGCGGAGGAAAAGAAGGTTGCCTCGGGAGGGTCAAAGCTATGAGATGAGTTGAGATAATCTTAATTTTAGATACATATAGTGTATGGCGGCTTGCATATAAAAATGATCTTGGGCTGCTCATGATGTTATATGAGAGTTGAAGGCTAGTAGTGAGAGGTAGTCGCTGTAGCGTTGCATTTACTGAGCGCTGCTACTCCATATTCGCACCAACCAAAGCAGAAACAAACACATGCTCTTATCCCACGTTGTTTAATTTATCGGCCCAAAATCTCCATACCGCTATTTTGTTGTTTGAATAGGGCAAAAAAACTTGCTCAAACACACGCAAGCGTGGAATGGATAGGCTAAGAAAACAAAGAACCATTGGCTTGGCACGCGCACATGGCAATTGGGCGTGGCTTTTCTTCCTATTTGGTAGCCATCTTTCATAGTTCAAGACCAGTCCTAGAATGAAACGCTTTTTATTATACTATTGGAATTGGTTTATGTGACTTTGTTTCCACTGTTATCAATCTGGACACTGTGCGAAGTACATGGACGCACTTTCTGGTGATGGTCACCCAGCCCTGTGATGGCTCATGAGTGGTTCGGAAAATTTGATATACTATGTCTACAGTCTTCTATACGCGTGTCCAGAAATATTATACTGAAGTATTGGACAGAGGATATTTTTTGACTTTCTCAACAGCTGCATTGATGCATAGTTTCGATAGCATCATGGTCCCCTCCATAGAGTATGTAAGCCACGAGTTTTCAGCAGTTGTTACCGTAAAATTCACTGCGGCATTCTTCATATCTACCCTCAAAGCTGTTTATCTTTTGTAGGATAAAGAAAATAGTAGCTATATACAATTAATCTTTGATACTCGGGAACAATCCGACTTTAGTCATAAGAGGCTCATCACTTAGTGGAAATAACATCGATGATGTATGAAGTAGCTGATCGCTCCGTAGCTAAAGGGTTGTGACAGCTTCAAGGAGGAGTCAAGAGTGCAAGTAAACATATAGTGTGACATGATATGATATAATTTCGGGTAGAGAACAAAACGGATTATGGTGCTCGAACACACATGATGAAAGCTTCGTATCATAATGATGACGCCAAGTTGAGAGCCTATTTCGAGAATTGAAGTCTCTGTGTGTCCTTGACAATGCAGTGCTACGGCTTTGTGCAATGATAGGGCTTTCTTCGACTTACACAAGATATCTACTTATCTATGATCCAAGCGGTGAAGGCCACAAATGCCTGAGGCGATCATATTTCTCTGCCAGTACCTATCACTAGATATCAATTTCTTTCCTCTATTTAATAGATTCCCTTTCTTTCTCTTCTTTCTTTTCTCTTCTTCCGCCACAGAAATGTAACTTATTTCCTTCCTTTCCTTCCTCTTCACTCAATCTATTCAACACTAGAGTTGTATCAGCCAACAACAATGTCTCAATCTCCCCTGCCAGCGAAACTGAATTTGCCAGGCACAAGATCATATCCGCCATGCATCTTCAACACACAAGCCGAAAAGAACCTATACAAACGCCTTCGAGATGTGTATGAAGAGCATTGTGATACTTGGGATGCCGAAGCACACGATGCATGGCCAGTCATTGTTGAACACGCATCGCTGGCACCTTCAACAATTGGCAAAATCACGAATCATTACATCACGAGACACATGCAGAATAACGGCGTGACATGGGCACATGTGGTTGCACTTCGAATCATGTATGAGAAGCAACTTTACAAGAGCAGAAAGTTGATGGGGCTCATTCGGGGCAAATATCCAAATGCAAGCTTCGAAACATTTGCATACAGCGAGGACTACACACTCTCCTTCAAATCCGAAATGGCCAGAGAAGCACAAGAACAAGCAGCTCCAAAGACACCAGCAGTGGACAACAGCGTTCAAAGACTCCAGGGCGATGAAGGTCTGCAGCTCAATAGAACACCTGCGAACAACCACCACCGTGAGATGAGTAAAGGGGCTGTTGAGTTTCTGAGCGACGGAAATTCCTCTGAAGACGAGCCAATCATGTGGAATTCGTCTAAGAGGACAAAACCGCCACCTGCTCAGAGTACAACACGGAAAAAGCGAGCTGCTACCACCAATGCACGAAACGAAGGCGGAGCTGAGCCGCACAGACGCACCAAGAAGCCGCGCCATGCGGCCAGAGGCATTACAAATGTACCTTCTCCCTCCGGAGAGGTCAAGGAGAGGACAAGCGAAGAGCAAGAAACTTCAATAGACGTGTTTGAAAACTTTATGAATGCTCTCAAAGAGAATACAAAGGCAACAAACGACAACATAAGAGCCACCGAAAAGAATAGAAAAGCCACCGAGGAGAACACGAAAGCCATTGAGGAGCATACAAAAGCTACAGAAGAATATACAAAAGTTATCAAGGAGAAGAGGGCACGCAGCAAAGCGGCTTCAAAGAAAACCACAAAGGATCAAAATGTGTGATGGTTTGAGATTCGTAGATTGGCTTAGATAACGTTACCAAGAGTTACTCATACAGCTTTTAGTAGGAGACATTCTAGCAGCTAGTACTGGGAGTGGCTATTTCTTACTCAATTTAGACATAAATCATTTCAATGACCAATGAAACGCGACCCATGCACATGTTCTACAATTGAAGTCTCATGATTTGTGCCTTGAATGAGTATCTATCAAGAGACTGGGTGCGAATATTAACACCAGGCCACTAGCCCCAACCACCACCCAGCGGACGCTACCACATTTACTTGCTCACCCTAGAAGAGGCACCGAGAAACAACGACGCCAATCTAAGCACAGCTATGTGAGGCTAAAAGGGATCCTCCTGCTTCCTATTCGCTGCGTCTGTTATGCTCAAATCAAGCTTAACCAGGTATCCTGGCGCTATCCCAGAGCTACGTTCCACAACGCTCCTGATGTACTCCGGTACCACTCCTCGCTTTTCGTTTGCTATATAAGAGGCAACATGAGAATCTTGTCCAACAGTCGTTTCCCCTCATTCCTCTCTCTTCAATCTTGTTTTTGAGTCTTCTTCAATTCAACTCTTGGCCCTCAAACCGCAATGGCGTTCAAGTCGATCCTCCTGGCTTTGGCTGCTTCAACAGCCGTCAACGCGCACTTCAAACTCGCGTACCCCGAATGGCGAGCTGACACCCTCGCCGAGGAAAATGAGGACAAATACAGCCAATGGAACTATCCTTGTACGTTCTCCTCCTCTTCCTCCTCCAAACACCAAAAAGCCTGCAACTTCACTTCACGAACTATCTCACTAACTGAATCCCAGGCGGCGGCGTCCCCTACAAAGCCGGCAACATCACCGACTGGCCCCTTGGCGGCGGCTCCCTCTCCCTCGAGCTCCACCACCCCTGGACCTACGTCTACATCAACCTCGGCCTCGGCGCAAACACGACAAACTTCAACGTCTCCCTCACGCCAGAGTTCCTCAACGTCACCGGCCGCGGCACCTTTTGCGTCAAGGAGCTCCCCGTGCCGGTGGACGACATCAAGGACGGGCAGCTTGCATCGCTGCAGGTCGTCACCAGTGGAGAGTCTGGCAACGCGCTGTACAACTGTGCTGATATTCGATTCACGAAGAATGCGACGCAGCTCAAGAACTGCACTGACTCGGATGGCATGGTTGTCCAGGCCATCAAGGACCAGAATGGCAATGGCACTGATTCTGCCCAGAATAGCTCCAGCAGTGGCAATAGCACCGGTTCAGATGATAAGAAGAATGCTGCTAGCCCGTTGAGTACCAATAATTCGGTCGTTTTGGCAACTGTTGCTTTCCTAGCTGTTGGATTCTCTTTGGGACTGGGCATCTAAACTAGAGAGGTCATGGCGAGAGTGAAATGTGAGGGACACAAATAAGATAATGAAACTACAGGGCTATGAGTCATGAAATGAAATATAATGATATTAATGCAAATAGCGAGATGATCTATCTCCTAATGCGTATGCCGTCTCTTGATGCTGCCATGCAAAGGACAAATATGAGTGTACAAGAATGTATAAGTTTATATATGTACAAGTGGTATCTCCAGCTTTCTGGTATCATGATTTAAACGTCTTGAAAGGAAGAAAAAGAAAAGAAAGAAAAAAAATAACAAAAGCAAGCAGGTAGGAAAAGAACAAAGGACCACTGTCGATTTCTTTTCCCCTGCTTCAGTCAGTCATTGCCAAAGCTGGTGTATCTGCATGATGCTTACTCCATTTGATGCCCCATCTCATGCCGTTTCAAATATGCGTGCCATTCACTCAACACATGTCGTATATGTTTCCGAAATAAACTCCAATGGTGATTTCAAATGTTGGGAAGAAGAAAAACAGAAAACCAAAACAAAACACTGGATGCTCAAGATGAATAAAGGTTGGAAAAAAAAAAAAAAGAAAAGGGGGAAATAAGCGGAGAAGCTCTTCTTCTAAAGAGATGTATAGGAAGGAAAATGTAATCTTCAACTCTTTATCATGCTGCAACCGTTTGCTCAATGGAAAGCTCTCTGACAATCTTGTCCATTGTGATGCGGTGGGCTGGGTTCGGTGCCAACATGTCCTTTACCAAACGCTCTAAACGGTCTTTGGAGGCCAATCTTTCTCTTGCTTCGTAAATCTCTGCAAGCCAATCCCGCATCTGATTCACGGCTGGTTGGCCGTTGCCATATTGCTTATAAGCATATGATGATGCTGGTTGGCCGTGGATCTGCGCGATTTGCCAGTATAGCGGCTTAGGATGTTGCCTTCGTGCGCGTGAATCAGGAAACTTGATGAATCGCATTGTGTACAGCATCGTGACACCCAAAGCCCAGACGTCTGATTCAGGGCCACGAGTTTTGCGCGCGATAAACTCAGGTGGGATATAGTACGGAGTCCCGCCTCCAGAAGGAGTGCTTGACGCCAACGTGGTTAATCCAAAGTCACAGAGCACAGCGCCGCGCTCAGGCGAATATAGGATATTGGCAGGCTTGATGTCGTTGTGTACTAGTTTGCGGCTATGGAGGTAGCTGAGAGCATTCGAAATATCACGCAGGATTCGAATGGAATCGTCCCGAGTTCCCGTAAATTCATCGTTACTTTTGTTCCTCCAGTGGGCAGAAGAAGTAAGGTCCTTTGCGTCTATGTGCTCCATATATAGACTCAGGTACCTGGCGTCTCCTCCGTAATAGCGTACAATAGACTCATGCTGCAGGTCCTGTTGGCTTTGGCATTCTCGCAGCCACATGTCTGCTTGGCGGATGACATTCCGTTCATGTACAAGCGGCTTATTGTCTGAGTTTGCGACTCTGGTCTTGAGCACTTTGACGGTGACTATGTTGTTCGGCACCTGCGAATGCGATGCAGTGAAGACTGCCGACAGAGCCGTGGACGCAATCAGGTCACGTTTAGTCAATTGGTATTGGTCGAGTTCGCAGACGCCAGGCACGGCAATCACATTGCCCTGCTCTGCGTCTAGGAGTGCATGGCCATTGGCCGACGCTATTTCCTTTCCCTCTCGCGCGTTAGGAAGAGGAAAGACTAGAGGCTCAGCCGGTCCCAAGAACATGATGACGCCGTCGTCTGGTCCCTCGTTGGCATCCGAGATACGTCGTTTTGCTCTTTTGACATCTTCGTCTGGAGTGAGGGCTCTTTTCAGGCTCGTATTGAGGTGGTCAGTTGTGATGAATGACGGCGATGATGGGGGCGAGTCCTCAGGCACTACTGGTGAAAGTGGCGGCTCATAAACAAGAACTGGTCGCTTCTCTAGAATGCGAAAATCTAAAACTGCAACATCTCTCACTTTGATTCTAAAGGTTCCCGGCCTCAGGCCTTTGGCAAGGCCCGGGTTGATAACGTGGCGCTCACTTGGTGGAGTGCTGGCGGCGGCGCTACGAGATATCTGGCCCAGCAAGATGGGCACGTCCGACTTGTTCAGGAAGATGACTTCGTCGCTGGCGGGATCGTAATAGAGTTCACACCACAGTGGCGGCCGTGACAAGTCTTCCTCCGCAGACCCGGGTATTCTGACTGAGAACTTGATGTCCTTTGCGGTCTGAGTCACAGCAAGGACTTTGTGTTCAGGCTTGTCCGAGGCAGCCACCTCGGCGCGGAGAGCCAGCCACTGGCAATTGTCGCTGCCGGGACTCACTGAACGAGAGCCGGGCAGCTTGGTGAGAGGCCGCACGAGGATGCGGATGCCTTGCTTGTGGTGGTGATCTTCGACCTGCAAGACGTCGAGCGAAACGGCCTCTGGGTCGGTGGGGATGACTGGCTCCTCGACGCCGACGCCAGGGAAGCGGGCTTCAATCTCTGACTGAGAGAAGGGCTCCGTCTTCTCCTCGGAGTACCCTTCCGAGGGCTCGGCCCGGGCTTCGAGCATGAGGACGGCTGGCAGTGCCTTTGCAAGGCCCATGTGCCGGTGGTGATGTGAGTGTCTCTCCAACGCAGCACCGCAGAGATGGATGGATAGAAGAGCAGGTAACAGGCAGTAGGGGACTTGGAAGTAGATTTAGAGTGGAGGGGAAGCAGGCAGGTTGACAGGGTGGGTATCTGGCGTTGGTTGTGATACTCAAGCCTGGAGAGCTCAGCAGGCACTGGCCCAGGCAGAAGCCAGCTCAGAAGAACAGCTGGGGAAAGGCAGAATAGCTGCGGGGTCGCAGACAGGTACTGGTGGTTATGAGTAACAAGCAGCAGCGAGTCGAGCAGAACACAGCGTTGGTGGATGCAAACTGGAATAAAAAGAGGGCAAGGTGGCCAGCTTTCGGCCAGACGCACAATAAATGCAGAAACGAGCAGCTGAAACGCTATATCGCGGCCATTCAGCGAGAGTCAGATGGCCAGCGAGCAAGACGAGGTCCGGGCCTGGTGATGGAGTCTCAGCCTGCGCTACGGGCAGTCACAGCAAAGGTACAAATAAGAACGCCGAAAAGAAGGCAGCCAACCACCAGACGCTGGGTGCCTTGCGGACCGCGGACCAGACGCTACAGAGGAGCGAACAGCAGCGGGCGGGAGGGAACTAGGCACAGGCTCAAGAGCAGCTGGTTGGTTCTAGCCCCAGACCAGAGCATGTGCAAGACTCGATTATGCGAGTGCTCGCTGCGTGAAAGCCACACGCTGAGAGCACGACATGCCAGGATTGGCGGCGAGGAGGCCCCGGCGAATAAGAGCTAGAGCCGCAACGGGGCGATGAGGCGAAGCGCCATCGCTCTATTCAACCGCGCCCCATTGCTTCCTTCTCAGCAGGCCCGCAGTATCCTGGAAGGCCTATTTCAGGCTCATGAGGCCATGCTGGTGATGGGAGGTCAAGAATAGGTATCGTTCTGCGCCAGCACTTGCTGGGCGGTAACCTCTTGCCCAGCTGGAGAGTAGAATGGAAATCAAATCTACCGCGCATCTGAGACAGCGGTCAAAGGTATCCTCAGTCAAGGAAGGTTCGTAACCATGTCAGCGAAGATGGCAGCAGATGGCATGCTTGCGTCTCACCGGACCTCTCACTCGTAAACTTTCTTGAGTGGTGGAAATGGTGATTCTTGCGTGAGAGCTTTTCGCTGTCATAGCTATGCTGACTCATCTACACGTGATCGCTGAAGAGTAAAGAGTCGAACAAGACGACGAGAAGAGAGCCGCAGGGCCAGCGCGAGTGACCGTAGATAATCATTTGGCCAGCAGTAGATAATTACGTCGAACTGCGCAGGCATCTCACAGCGTCCTGCTGATCAACACGATGCCAGCTCATCGAGTCCGAGCGTTGTCTCAGCTGCCTAGAAGAATTCTTCATTCTCACGCTCTCCCCCATCGTGAAGCTGTCACGCTGGTGTCACTGTTGCTCAGCTGGAGGGCGAATGGATACCTGAACTTGAGGTCACTTGCCGCCCAATTTCAGTGAGCGTCTAGCATGGTGGCGCAGAGCTATGGCAAAATAGCACACCAGCCACAGCCTGGCGGAAGAGGTGGGCTGGCAATTGGTACTTGTGTCATCCTTTGGGCAGATTTTTCTTCTCCCGACCAGGGTCGAGGCCTTTGTACCTCCCGTAAAAGGCCGCACTGGCTGGACAGTGTGGTGTGAAGAAGACCACTGTAGCAAGCACTATTAAGAAGAAGCAGGGATGCTAGCAGACCATCAGCAAGGGAGAGAATCCATGTGCAGGCTGCGCGAGAGTGGATTATCAGGTGGAGCGAGGGAGTGTGTAAGGGCAAAGAGGGTGTGCAAACGCACATTGTAGCAGATCTGGCATTTTCATTGAGAAGGAATACGGCAGGAGAAGTTAGAATCAGGAGAAGCAAGGCACATCTTGCGCTATAGGGTGAGGATCTGTAGATTGGCAAAGATAAGGTACTAGTAGATATTGAATACCTCTCTGCCTTGATTTCAGCTGATTGAAAGCACCCAAAAAAAACACAAAAACAAGGCAGCGCAGCGCAAGGCAGGAAGGGCAGGACAGTGTCATTCTAAGCATGACGTGAAGAAAACGGACTCGCATTAGCGCGCACAGCCCAAACTCTCAGGAATCCGCCACTGCACGCTGATTGGCACCTGCGGGAGGCCATCATGGCGCTAGTAGAAGGCCATCATAGCGCTAGGATCTTTTCGGCATAGCTTTCCGTACCGCTCGCATCGATTTAATCTAGATCGGTTCTAGCTCGCGCTGCAGCCGAAACTCACAGCCAACCACAGCCGTGCAGGTGGATATTGCTGTTTGTGCCTCAGGCTGCAGTGCCTTTGCGATCCGGTGCTTGGGGCAATGGGTATACGCGCGACTCCCCCCAGCTGCTGGTGAGAGATTCCCAAGGGCCCTGGCGACAACAATCTGGGACACACTGCCTGTATACTCCACGCAATCATCACGAAGACACGAGCACTTACAGCAGGACATTATTGCCCAGTAGTACTCGTCAGTGACTGTTTCGCCATGGCCTTGATTTCAAGTACTCAGCTCTAAGCGAGCCGCGTTTCGACGACACCAGGGCTCCGATATCGACACGCTTGTCCTATTTCCATATCCAGTCATTCCAGTTATCCACAGCCGTTATACCACGCCTTCCTTATATACCTTCGTCTCTCGAATCCCTCTACCAGCGCCCGCGGTCCGCCCACTATGGACGATCCCGATCTATCGTGGCCCGCCTGGAAGTTTGGCATGAAGAGAGACGACCTTTTCACCACGCTCCACGATCAGTACAACACCTTTACCTACACCCTCCAAGACCCCGAAGCCTTCCACCACGACGTCTACGAAATCTCCAACCATGCAGACACGGCCGAAGAGTTCCATCGCTTCATGGCGGCTCGGCAGCGGCAGCGGCTCTCCGAACTCCAGGAGTCTCTTGAATCGCTCGCTGTAGAGATCATTGCCAACCCGAAGTTGATAGGTTCTGACCAGTGGCAGCACGCCCTTCAGCTCTTCCGAACCAAGTCGTTCGACTCCATCGTCAGATATTTTGCAAGCTACCTCCCCGACGACTACCTGGACCGCCATGGACCCTGTTCCATGTCATCGTCCTTTTCCGAAACCGATTCTATTCGCACCACTAGCACAAAGGCCAGCAGTGCCTCCGATGCTTCTTCCTTCCTCGACGACGATTTCTTTCCTCATGGCCCCATGATTACCGCCGAGCCGGGCGTTTTGAAGACCGCAGATATACCTCCATCGCCCGAATCCGAAGGGTCCCCAGCTGAATCGGCTGACTCGCCGACATTCACATCCACAGATCCACCTTCGCGATCCATGTCCTTTTCGGGCCCGGACTCTCAAAGACTTAGTTCTCGCTTTGTTCGACGACCTCACATTCACGACGATGACGATACGTCTCAATCCGACGAGTGCGACACGACAGTAACCTCTGTTTGTGATTCGACAGAAACTCGATCTTCTTTCGACCCTGCCGACGAGGTCGACGACAAAGAACTACCTGTACACATTGTAGACGGCGAGGAGGAAGACGAGGACCTTCCCACCGCCCAGTTTCCTGAAGATGATTTCTGTTCTTTTGATTCTTTCGATACCCCAAATCCCTTCAACACCACAACCTATGATACCCTTGAATCCGACACCCCTACCCCCAGGCAGGCTACCGAATCCACCTGCTACCTAGATTATAAATCAGTGATTTCTTCACGCAAATCACCAACACCATATCAACGCTCCTCCTGCCGCCGTTCACCATCACCAGTATCGCTACTTGGTCGGCGCAGAGAAGGGAGCCCTACCCACGACATTCGGAGGAGTCCGGAGGAGGCGCTTAGCAAAATACAAAAGCCACCCTTGGGAGAGTCCATACGGAGGAGGCCTAAGAACAAGAGATGGGGGGCTTGACTCGAGGAGTCGGGCGTGCGCTGCGCGCAACACTTGTATATATATGAAGATGATGAAGCCTGTACATATACCGAGTCTTATGACACTAATGATTTCAAAACCTCCAAAGCACAGTCTATGCGCGTGTGTGGTGATGTCATTCCTTGAGTATGACCTTGTACCTTGCAGCGATTACTATAATCATTGTCTTAGTATTTCCCATCTGTTTGGTGAGTCGCACGCTCTATTAATGCTACTGTTTCAGCTGGCTTTGTTTTTTCTTGGGTCGAGTGAGCGATCCTATCACGGTTCTCGGAACGTGTGATCACGGCATCACTTGCATCGTGGGTCACATGGAATCCAGGAACCAGGAGCACTTTTCTTCCCTTTTTGCATGTGAATGACGTCATGAATGTCCGTCATTAGTCTTTGTCTTTTTGATTTTCGAATTGTGAATTTTGTTTGGTTTGAGCTTGGGTTATTTTTTTTCTGCTGATTTATGTGGGTGGCGGCGGAACGGGTTACTACACTGTAACCAACCATGTGAGTGAGCGTCTTTAGCCGTCCCGACCTTTTCCTATTTAGCAATACTCTTCTTATACACCCTCGACTTATACACGACTTCATAGTCAGCGTAACGACGAGCTATGATATGCTTCACGAAATATAGACTGATAGGTGAGTTTCGCTTAAATATGACCACAATTTATGAAAACGCGATACCCATAGCTAATACGTACAAAACAATACGATGGAATAAACTGCGCCGCAAGATATCTGTCCTTTCTCCTCCAGAATGTGAATATGAAAAAAACAAAAGCAACCGACTCGCGGCTTATACTATGCTACATCTTTCTAGAGCAGCCGAGGATTGAGATACGGCAGCTCCTTGATATGCTCGCTCCAAATTGCTAATGGATCCTTCTTCTCGCCCGCCTTGCCCTTCTCAACGCCATAGAGATACGGCTTCTCGTTCGCATAGCAAGCCGTCTCTTGCTCGTCAGGCAGCTCTCCGTGCAGGATATACTTCTTCGCAATAGCATCTGTGCAGTTGGACTTGTCTCGCGATGAGTGGCCGTAGCCGTGGTGTGCAATAAGTCGCGCGTTGCTGCCCATCTCCTCGAGCAGTCTTCGGCCATTTCGCAGCGGCGTAGCAGGGTCATATGTCTCAGCAATCAGCAGAATCGGGTGCTTGAGCGTTGCGTTCAAGTCGCCACGGAAGACCTCCGCCGGCTTGGGCCAGTAGTCCGTGAATCGCTGGCAAGGGAAGACGTTGAAGAAGCGCGAGTTGCCCGAAATCCAAGACTTTGTTGTCATATTCGCCCAAAGAGATTCCCACCAGTCGAGGCCATCCTCTGGTAGCTCAGCATCGTAGCCATCTGAGCATATGACAAGATCCGCCAACTCATCGGTAGATGGTTTTTTATTGGGGATGGAGGGCAGTGTGGGGTCATATTCCCAGGCCGAGCGCTCAAGCATGGCTGCAGCAAGTGTAGAGTTTCCTGCTTCAAGCTCATAGAGGAGCGTTGCCAGTGCAGGCCAGGAGTTTGCGTTGTAAAGAGATCCATAGATAGCTCCCACTAAGCCAGAGTATGTAATGATAGATGGCCCGTTGGATTTTGTATAGCCTACTACGGGCCGCGAAATGAGCGAAGTAATGAGCGTCTCAAGGCGAGACTCTAGGCTTTCCACAGTTACAGCTTGGTCATCAATCGGCTTCGCTAGGTCGCAGTGCTCTGGTCCAGCGTTGATACACTCCCCAAGGAAGCCATCGTGCCAGGCATTAGTCGCGTTATCCAGAGCAGTCCAACCAAAGCCTCCCAAGAGACGATGGTCTTTGACATACTCAGTGCCGTCCAAGATCATTCTTCCTACACTTGATGGGAACATGTTTGCATACGTCTGTCCGATTCCTGTGCCGTATGAGATCATATGCGCCGTCAGCTCATCTTCGCCAAGGGCCTTGCGAATTTCCTCGAGGTCGCGAGCCACGAATGCCGTGCTCACAAAACGAGGTAGATCACCATGCGTTTTGTAGCAGGCGCTGAAAATTGCCTGGTTCAAAGCATCGGCGACCTCCAGGTGAGCCCTAGGCGAGCCCAGAACTTCGCGGTACTGTCCGCTGAGCAGTGACCAGTGATCTCTGTCGGCATCAAAGGGGAAGCAGGAGAGGGCGGGGAGGGACGTGTTGACGCCGCGGGGATCCCAGCCCAGCACATCGTATGCGCCACCGCTCAGACGCGCCGTGAAGGTTTCAGCTGAGCGCCTGACAAGAGACGTTCCGCTGCCACCAGGACCGCCAGGCTCAACCACAAGAGTCCGCTCGCTTTTATGGCCAGCAGATGGCTGGGGGAGGCCATGAACGGGAGCGAGTCCTGAGACCTGATACTTTGTCACGGCGAGACGAGCGATACGGGGATCAGATGCGTTGGTGTAGTCCAGAGGAACATCGAGCCAGCCGCAGAGGTAGATGCCGCGGCCAGCGTAGGGGTCATGCTTCGGAATTGCGTCCTTGTCTTGCTCAGTACGGTTACCCCAGCTCCAGTGTCTGGGATTTGGGTCAAAGAGCCTCGCCCAGCTTCTCTTTGCATGGTGGTCATCCAGAGCGGGAGGCACAGTCTCGTCTGTGCAGGGGATGAAGTGGAAAGGATCATTGGCTTTGGGGAATTTCCCGTAGGGTGAAGGGCCTCTCCAGTGGTCATGGTGATCATGGTCAGGGTGATCGTGAGGAGGGCCGTGGGGAGGACCGTGGGGAGGAGGCGGAGGATGGCCGTGAGGAGGATGAGGATGAGGATGAGGGTGGTGGTGATGAGGAGGTGGTGGTGGAGGTCGCCAGAAAGGCCAGTGAAGATTGAAAAGAAACAAGCAAGCAAGACCAGCAATGCACGCTGCTCTGAGGCGCCAGATGCGCTTCTTATGTGCGATGTGCTGCGCAGCAGCGCCGTCCGTTGGCAAGGCTGCCTTCTCCATCTTCTCCATCTTCGCCAGAAGAAGTTCTGTGAGGTCGTGAGTAGGTAGGTTGTCTCAATCAAGTTCAATTGGGGCTCCCGATTGGTTTTATGCGCTATAGCAAAAGGTACCCGTGGACGCGTACGACGCTACTGGGGGACTTATTTTTGGCGGGCGGCACGGCACGATCAGCCATTTAGTGAACACCCCAGCGGGGCCTTGTGCCTGGGAAGACGCTCAACTGTTGAACAAGTCCAGCCCTGATATGAGAGCCTTCAATTTTTGTTTATAAACCACACCAAACGTGAGCTTATATAATTGATCAAGTAATTATATCATCAAAATCTTACAAGCAACACTCGAGATTGTATTTTGTACCGTTGCCCGTTACTTGCACGTCTTGAGAATCTGGTTCTGAATCTACAATGAAGCCTCTCCCCACTACTCGGGGGCAGTACGCAGAAAGCCGACGGGGGTGGAGAAGCGATTGATGGAAATGGTAATCGATTAATTGCCTTGATGGGCTTGATGAAACCCTATTGACGACACTACGGAGCAAATGTAGCGAAGATAGCACGAGGCTTACGTTATGCATCTTTATTCCTAGTTGAGATGCATCCGTAGGATAATACGTAAACGTACCCGTTGTGCAACCTTTATTAGGTCAACAAAAATCATGGTGCTTCTGATAAGCGTATTTATTGCAGGAAGTGCTCTGACATGAGAGCCATCAGCTTTTACATATAATCCTTTGTTTTCTCTGCACACACCTCCCAGAATTCTTGTGCTTTTCCCGACCCGCCTTCATCAGCAGTCTTGGTTGCGTTGATCAAGTCTTCCCTGAGGCTATTCGAAATTCTGCCCCATGGGATGATATAGCATCCGTTATTCTGAATGCCAATGTCCGCAGAGAATCCAGCGTAAAGCTCGGTGAGAGCCGCAAGTTCAGGCTTATAAAGCAGCGGATAGGCCAGATAATTGAGATACGGCGTGTGGCGAAAGAGATTTGTGGTAGCGGCGCCTGGATTCAGAGACACGCTTACAATACTTGAAGATGCCGCCCTTCGAGCAAGTTCCGTAGCCAAAAAATAATTGCCCGTCTTTGAATTGGTATAGTTGCGAGTTCGGTCTTGGGGAGGCGCTCGGAGCTCGTCTATGACGATGCCATCGAGAGGAGATGAAAGTTCCATAACTTGACTGCTGGTCCATACGACGCGAACTGAGCCTTGAGGTGTGGCTTCGTCTGCGGCTGTAGATTCAAGAAGAGGCAGCAGTAACTGGGTGAAAAGAAACGGCCCGAGACAATTTGTAGCAAACTGCAGTTCGATGCCTTGAGATGACAAGCTGCCTAGAGGTGGTTGGGAGACGCCGGCATTGTTAAAGAGTAGATGAAGCTTCGATTCCTTGGCCTTGAATTCCTGAACTGATGCTTTGATGCTGCTTAAATCATGCAGCTTCAGGGACAAGAATTCAAGGCTGCCTCCTGTAGTCTCAGAGGCTTGTATGCTCTGAATTGCTTCACGAGCTCGCTCTTCGGAACGCGCAGCGATGTATACTCTTGCATTTTTCCGGTACAAGATTTTAGCAAGCTCAAAGCCGATACCTGAGGATCCGCCCGTGATGATGACGACCTTGCCGTCCAACGAATCTAAATCAGCCTCTGTAAAGGTTGGCCTTGGAGGGAAGAATTGCGACCATTGGGCTCCCATGGCGACACAAAAGAAATCGAACTGACTATTCACGCAAGCTCGTAGTCCAATATTGGAGGTGAATGCAGGAAAACATGGCGGTTTATTCAACGCAAGCGGGAAGCCTCTAAAATCCTTTCTTCAATGAATAGCGACGACCAACAGCACTCGACCCGAAGGATTCCCCTCCATTAGCTCAGACATGAGTGGCGGAATTCGACCAGTTGCGTAAGGCTAGCACTTGAGCATCGCGTGGAGCGCAAAAGAGGGGGTGATTGTTCGTTTAAATCCTTCAAAGTCTCGTTTTAACTGGAAAATGCTGGATAAATGAGGCCAGCGACATGTAGTGTATCGGTATCGCGGCTTATATCATGGGGAAGTGTCTTTTAGCACTGCTGGCTACATGACTCTCATAGCGGCCAGTGACGATGAGTTCCTTCCGATAATTTCAATAATGGTAAGCTATTAATAGTTGTCTGATGCTTGCTTGGGTCAACAGAGCAGTCTCTTTCTAGAAAGGTCTTTTCATTATCCGTAGCTTTCTGTATCCATGTCCTTTTAGTCAACGAACTGGGACTTTACCCGCCGCTACTTGGTGATTACGCCTAAGCGTTTCGGGAAGCATTAACTCCCCGAGCTTTCGACACATTGGGAATACAAACGCCGGAAGTGTGGCACATGACGCATTATAGGTGAGGTAGAAGACATATATCACACATACGGTTGTGATAGGAATGCAAAAGGAGCACTGCCAGCTGATTTCTGACAAGGTGAACAGACGGCTCAACTTTGAGCTTGAGCGATCTGACAGTATGTCTTATGACCAAAAGGGTGGGAAATAGCGTACGTGTATTCACGCCTCTCAGGTTATAGAGCTCTTAGAGCTCTTGCATCGCCTTAGTCAGACCTAATGTACTGGCGATGTAGATTTTACCATCTGCGCGCATACAGCTTTGGTAGTGGTAAATACATGTATTCTGTTACTTAATAGTATCATATAGTCCCCTCGTATTGCTTGTTCGGGGTATCTAGACGTTTCTCTTGCCAAGTGTATACCTACCTCCCCTTTCCAGTAGTGGTGGGGGCATAAAGTATACCAGACGACCTAAGCTGTAGCCCTCAACTTTGCTCTCATCTCAATAGCCTTCTTTTCGACTATCAGAAATGTCCTCATATCCTCCCACTTTATCTTACGATCCTCTAGTGCCTCAAAGTCAAATGACCAAAGCAGCTTGGAAAAGATGAGACGAATTTCCGCCAGTGCCAGGTGTTGTCCCAAGCAAGATTCACGCCCTTCACTGAAGGGTTGCAAGGCCTCAAGCCGGTCGTGGAAGAAGGGAGAATCTGGATTTGTGCGAGCATCAGGCAGCCAGCGCTCTGGGTGAAACGACGTGGGCAAGTGATAATGTTCCGGATCACGGTTCAGAGTATATGCCTGGACCGAGACTGATGTCTATTTCGCAAACTTGTTAATAGCCAACGCAGTGACAAACACACGACAGCAAGGCAACGGGGTACTATTGAGACTTTTGACTTACTCCTCCTGGAAGCCATGTTCCGCACACAGTTTCGCCCCCCTCGGGTACTTTCCTTGGGATAATCCAAGGGACAGGGGGACAGAGTCTGAGTCCTTCGTTAATCACAGCGTTAAGATATGGCAGCTGGCGTAAAGCATCGAGACTGATGTCATTCTCTGCTGGGAAAGCCTCATGGATTTCACTTTTCAAAATCTCGAGCTTATCTGTGTTATTGACAAGATAGTTGAGAGTGCCGCTCAGCGCTGTCGCTGTTGTCTCACTGCCGGCGATTGTCAGCACCATGAAAGTGGTGTCAATAGTGCTTTGCGGCAGCTTTTGACGTTCTGCGCCTTGTATCACATGAGACATAAGATCAGGTCGCTCAAGCTCAAAGTTCATCCGCCGGTTTACCTTGTCAGAAATGAGCTGACAGTGGTTCTTTTGCATCTCTCTCAAAGAAGGCGGGATGCACATGAAGAGTATGCGTTCGATTACGGGATATAATCGTGCTGCTGCAATGAAAGACACTGCCTTGACACTCTTGAAGAGAAGAGCGACCCAAGGATGATACTTGGATTCTTGGAGGCAGTTGAATGATTCTCCATAACCAAGATCGCCAAAGATGTCAAACGTGGTAAAGTTGAACCAGCGCACAACATCGATGACGGCGCCACTTTCAGGCTCTTTGCCCGCGAGCTCTCGGATTCTTTCTACTAAAAGATTGACATAAAGATGCAAAATATCTTCTTGCTCCTTCAAAGCACACGGAGTGAATCCAGGCGCCAAGAGATTGCGAATCCGTGCATGTTGCTTTGGGTCAATGATGCTGATCATAGAATCTGGCATTCCAGGGTTGGCCTTCCACCAGGTGAGATCCTTCAAAAACGGCAGGCGGTCTTTACGAAACGCCAATATGTCCCTTATGGCATCTTCGTGGGCAAAGGTGACATCGTTTGGCGAAATACGGAGGATGGGGCCGTACTTGCGATGCAGCCGCTCAACATCGTGGACGAGAGTGCCCCTTAGAAGAGCCCAGATGAAAGGCAGGCGGGATACTTTCCATGTGATTGGACCCGGAATTTTGGATAGAGGATGCAGAAATAAATTAAAAATAATCCGAAGTGCAGCATACTGAAATATGATTAGCTTAATGGTCAGACCTTTTGTGTTGGGTCCATACAGTCAAGAGTGTTAGTGCGGTGGTGGTCAGCCAACTGAAGGGCGAGATCTGCCAACCCAAAGCAGTCGTCATTGTTTCATTTAGGTGAACAAAGACACATTCATATGTTGAATTTTTTACTATTTTTATTTGTGTTGGTCAAAATAGTTGGCTAAGAATGAGGAGAGGTAGGACGGAAATCGCAGAAAAGCAGATGCAGATAAAGGCAGCCGAGTCCTATGGTCTGATTTGACGAGACACTGAATGGCACAGCCTCAAACGCACATTTATATTTGCGCTTTGCGCGGGGAAGTCACCAAAGTCTTGGACAAGTTCCTCATAAGATGTGCCTCATGACTGGAAAACCCCACGTCTTGCGGTCCAATTGGTAGCCTTGCGGGCGTGTGCTAGGCTAGAGGATGCATCGTGTGCCGCCGCCTCCGACGCCCTCAAACATGAGTGGCCGATATCGTAAAACACCATATCTGTGTGTGTACAGGTCTGAAATGTACCGCGATAAGGCAGTTTGAGAACTGTTGTTGGTTGGTAGCTGCTGCGATACCTCGGACCACCACCCCCGGTTTGGATATCTGTTGGTCGTGGTAAACTCGTATGCATGCAATGATATCATAAATCACCAGGCTGCGTTCTTCGGACTCCGTCATTCCTCCAATACTTCTGTCATATTATTCCAATTCTGGAACTTGCTGCTTCCACTCGTTATCATTCATTTTTTAGTCTATCATCGCGGAAATTAGTGCTTCTTAGATAGCATGTGTCCAATTCAATCGTTTTCACCACATGAGTATCATCGCACAATCCATATGGCATCGGCCGTACTTGATTACGATTAAATGCCTCGTAGTAAATACAGATGCACTGAGTACATATACTTGGCATGGCCAGATCTTAGTGGTCCTTCTCAAGCAGCTTGTTTACAAGCTATTTTAAATGGTATTTTGGGATCACATCATTTCTGCTCTCTACTTCGTAGTCATTGGTTGTATTTCTGTGCGTTTGGCTTAGTCATAATCTGCTTGCTTCTAATGGGACTAAGGTAATAGGAAGCTGTAAAGATATTTGGCATCAATATTTCTGTGCGAGCATCACTGTATGCTGCATTATGTAATTCGCTGAAATTTTGAGCATGATGCCCGGCCTGGTCCAGCGTCCGTGATGCAGCGTGAAATATCTCCTGCGCAGACTTCTTATCCGCCTGAAAGTGCTTACGAGACACAAATGACCAACAAATACTCACACGGATGTAAGGGCGACGCAGGTCTTTTTTACACCTCCATAATACTATTAATGTATTCTCAAACGATCTCGATTAGCCGTGCATCTTGGCAGAGATGCGGGCCCTAAGACCGACAATATTTAGGCCATGCGACTTACGTAGAGTTGGGATGATGAGGCTTTGAGCTTTACTTTAGGAGTAATTAGTAAATATAACGAAAAGATCCGCCAATATCTGAAATAAATTATTAGAATCTTGATGTCGGATTCAAGCGTTCATGGTGAATTGGTGAATGGTGAATGGTGTGAATGGTGAGCAGAGCTGCTGCGCTGACTAAGGGGCCACCCTGATTAAGTGAAGCCACCTACTAAGTTTGACTACATTCAGCCGGCTTGATCAAGTTCAGTAGGGTTGTTCAAGATCACACTGTTTGAACAAAGCCGCCTAGTTTGATCGTAGTCAGCTGGTCCGTTTGAGGTCACCAACTTCATTGTGGCTGCAGGCGCGCAGGCGAACAAGCAGGTATATACTGGTATTCAACTTTTTGTGCTTGTAGCGCCCTGTTTTTTCCTTCCTTTAGCAGGCACTGTACATTCTTATTGAAAAACAAAGAATGAGAAATTCTAATTAAGAACAAAATTAAACAACATTCAATTTTATTCCAAGGTGCCTTACAAGAGCGGTTAGTATATTTGCCCGACTGGGTAACTGCAAGTCGAGTTTTTTTAAGCTTAAGTTAGCGCTGGCAATTTATTCCGTTGATCAGAGCAAAGCTGGAAGCAGCCCTTCTGCGGTCTGCACCTTCCCAAATCTGCTTCGCTTCTTTAATCAATCGAGTATTTGATCCTTTTATCCCTCCGAAGTATTCATTTACTGTTATCAGCCAACAGAGAGAAGACAGTTAGTTACATGAAATATAGGTACCATTACTATGTACTAGGTACCCTCATCTGCTCTCTACGAGATAATATCTGCAACCAGTGTTCAATCCCGCCTCCTGTTCCCCAGAGATGTAGAAATACAAACGGAAGTCAGCCGCCGTTTCGCCTTGCAGGCCTCCCGCATGCAACGATTTGCCGGCTAAGAGGCAAAAGCATGGACATTACTGCGCGATGTGAACATCCGATGAATGGCGTAGTCTAATATCGGCCGGCTGCAGGTTCTTGTTTGCTGGCGGCAAACGAGCGGCAGCTGGCAGGATCATCATTCACTGGAGGCAGCTGGCGCACAAACGCGAAAATATCTATATAACATCATGCTCATGGTTTCTGGAATTCTCTTTCCAAAATTCTCTTCCCAAAACCAACTTCCACACGTCCAGCTCCCAATTCACACACCTTTTGCTGCGGTTTACGATTTACTCCGCCCCAAACCTTCGCCATGGCTCTCTTGAGGTCCGTTTTAGATCACGCCATCTTACCCCCAAATATCCCTGGGAAAAGAGAAAAGGAAGAGTTCTGTTGGGAGATTTCCAACAATCTTCTCGCTAGATTGCTGCGGGTTTGCAAAGAAGCGGAAGGCCTGACAACTCAGCCGTTCTGTGATGCCATCCGCTCTTTGACCGAATCACTTCAAGCATGCCACGAACTGAATCAAGGGAGACTCGATAAAGAAATTATGCTGCGATACTTTGCACAAATCAAGCCACAGGATGTTCTAATCCTTCATGTGGTTGAGCAAAACGCCGCCATTCTCATCAGGCATGAGATCAATGAGTAAGTGTTTTAGTCTAGGATGGCCACAATTTCTCACACTTGTTAACTAAATCGCGATCGATAGGAACGAAAATGCTTCAGTTGTCATTGAGTCTTTCGAAACGTCTCCAGCGACTGAACACGTTCTTGCCGCCGACAATGCCCTTCTTTGGGATTTCCCTGGACGCTCTGTTCGCTTGACTCTTGCAGAGTTCGACGATAAGAAGCTTCAGGAGTCGCTCGCGGCATTCCTTGAGAAAGCCAGCATGGAGTCAATTCATAGCCTTCAGGCTCAGGCTCGAAAAGCCGGAAGGGTTGTGTCCGAGCTAAGAGACACGTCCGACCCAGGATTGATAACGCAGATGCTTATGGCTATCCTTGAGTCTATCGGCGATTTCGCAACGGTTCCAACTCTCAGAAAGAGAGTTAGAGATGATGTGAATCTTGTGGAAGCGGCATCACTACCATGGAGAAGACTCCCTTTCTGGTTAGTCTTGCGAGTTGCAGTCCAGAGACAGCTTGGTCTTTCTCTCGGGCAGAGTGGACGGGCTTGTTACAAGTTGTCGATGAGCATTTTCTTTGCTAATTTACTCCACGACGCTACGAAAATGCTTGCTATTAAGGAAGGCAAAGTCGGAAATGTTTTTTCATTGAATGAGGTCAAAACGCTGGAACCTGAGCTGGTTTTCACTCTTCGAACAAAGCTATGCCGCCGAATGATCAAGATTGAGCGCGAGAAAGCTCTCCTGCAAACGCACAAAGAAGCTTTTGAAGAATTCTTGAGCAACGTCGCGCCGACAATTGAAGCCTCAATTAAGTTTGCAAACAGCTCTGTCGAAACTCTGTGGAATGATGTAAAGAAAGAAACAGAACGATCCATCGGACATCTTCCCCTACGAGCGCCTGAAAAATCCTTTCACCTCTCACTTCAGAATAGCAGCGGTCATCTCAGCAAGCTATTGGCTGCCAAGCAAGCTCCTCAGACCTTGAGCAATGTGTCGTTGCATCTCCTTGATCGTTTAGTTGATCAAATTGGAGAAAGCCATGGTTTCTTCAGTCGCATATATGTACTCAGTCAGCTAGAGCAGAAGATTGAGCTCGATAGTCAGCTTGCTTCGAGCTCCATCGAAGGTAGTGAAAGTCACTGCCAGACACTTGCTGATCAAATTCACAAGGTTTTTCAAGCGATTGGAAGCACATATGATGGCGACCCAATTCTTCAGAGTGCCAAGGCACTCGCGATATTCGAACTCTGGATGCGAATGGACAGATCTGCCCTTAAAAACTGTCCTCTGTTAGGCGACTACCGCCCAGTCTTCAGGCCTGGACTCCTCGATGTCCTTCAACTGCCCACTCTGTCTGATATGAAGCGACTATTGACAATCCAGGACTATCTTGACCGCCGCCATATAAAAGCTCGTCACGACCACATTTTCGGCGATCTGGATGCCACCAATTTTGCTGTACAATATGTGAGACAATCAGAGCAGATGAAGGTAGAAATGGCAGCTATCGAACGTGCAGCGACTACGAGCCGTGCAGCCAAGATTGAACAATGGGCAAAAGCTACAGCTGAATACGAGCAACGTACTCAAAACATCAATACAATGGCCTGTTGTTGCACATTTGAAGGTCGAGTTCGGGATGTTCGCGGCTGCACAAGATGCTGGCACTGGAGGATTCGCAATAAGCTCAAAGTGCAACACCATGAGGATTTTCTTCCAACACAAACAGACAAAAAGAGTCAGATCGTATTTGAGTTGGTAATGCCCAAGTACCTATCTGCGTACCGCAACGCAACATGGAAGATTCTTAGGGACTTGGCGCACCCCGACCGCTTGCAATCGAAGCCACCTTTTACTTCGTTAGCTTCATGTCCTCTACTGTCGAACTTTATGACTGCAGATCACACGGCCATTTCGCTTGCGTCTCGCAAGAAGTGCTTCATAGAAACACATTACAGTTTTAGTAATGGACTGGTGCCTATGAATAAGATCATCCTGCCATTCGCGGCAGATTTCTATTTATATGACCACGAAGCCAAGATATGGGCAAGAGATCTCGCTAAAGCTCCCACGCTGTATCATATTTGCGAGATCCGTGTCCCGAGAGGGCTCTCTAGCACAATTTTGAAACCACAACAGCATCCGGCTGAGGATTTTGACGGACCATCATCTTACGAGATCCAAGCCAATATCACCAAATGCCCATCCACCATGTCTGTAGCAGAGTTTTCGACATATCAGAAACTCCTTGCTGGCAAATTTCGCCGCTGGCCAAAGATTCTCGTGGAATTGGGTTCTTCCAACCTCGACTTCAGCAGTGAGGATACGACGTTGACGCTTACTCAGTTAACTGCCCAAGCTGGTCCCCGCGCTCTGGGAGATTCTACCGCTCTACGTAGCGTGCATTCAATTATGACGGATATAGACTTCACTCGAAGCTTAAAGGAGCAAATTGGAAACCGAATGGAGTCTATTCGAACAAATTGGAGAGAAGTAAGCGGCATGGAGCTTCTCATCAACTTGAGTTTACGAGCTTTCTCTCTACTACCCGATGGCGAAATGCGCAACGAGTTTGAGCATCTCCTCAAGTTAGCTAGGGCTACTACACTAAACTGGATCAACACATCGCAGGAAGAATCTAGGAAAGCTCGGGACAAAAAGGATGCTCACAGAATCTCCATCTATAGCCTGAAGGCCGCATTACTATGTCGTCGGACTTTCCAGATCTACATTAGCCGAGAGACGGCACTTTTGTCAACTGACCTTTCTTCCTGGATTCGAGCTTCAGTTGCGCTTCAAGAGAATCAAGTGATTGGCATCAACAATTTGCCAGACTTGGCCAAAAACATGCTCATTCATGATGCAAAGATGACTTCTCGGCTGAGCTCTTTGATTCATTCTGCAGTCGAAGCTCACCCAGAAATTATTGGAGAGGCTATTGACACAGACTGGCAAAATATTACAAACTGTACGACCCAATCCGAATCATCTTGGACGTTTGTTTCCTCTCCACACCAAAGATGGATTCGATTCATTGTGAATGAAGATTTTGAGCGCTCGCAAGATAGGCAAGTCTTTCATTTACATATTCTAGAAGGCCATTTCCTCGTTAACGGAAAGAGGCGAGGGAGTCTCCCACCAGCTATGCTCAACGATCCCACTATCCAGCTTTTGTTCAGAGATCACAGCTTGTATGTCTATCCATCGTCCATGTTCGGTATGGACTATAGACTTGACCAACTAGTTGAAGATCACAGCATTCATCTTGGCCGGCGCGACTCTGAGATCATTGTTCGAGCAATTGTCCGAAAAAGGGCTAGAGCACAGAAAGCAGACGTGCTTTACGAATTCATTCCCAGATCTCTTTTTAAGCTGGATAACCCGATGACCTTTGATCTACCCACGAGTCTAGTGGATTCCTGCTATCACTGGCTGGCTTTAGATACAGGTATCTTAGAAATTCGGCGCTCAGTTTGGTGGAGCCGTCCTCGCGACTGGAGATTGAACGTTTCTCAGCGGACAGCAGCTCGTGGTGGAAACGTCAGACTGGTTGATCCACGATCTGCCATTTTTCAACAAGTGACCAACGTGTTTCAGCATTTTGAAATGCCACAAAAGCTAACAGTCTTCCAACCGGTGGCACGAAAGGGCACGCTTTCAGTCGAACTGCGTCACCTAGATCTAGAGTTCAAAGTCAATGAGGATGGTTTACTCGACTGCAAGCAGCTCAAAGCCTTTGTCGACCTCAATCAAGATGCCGGAACATGGTATGGGCTCACCAGTAAGATTGTGTTACGGGATACGCAAGATGAGAAGAAGAGAAGCATAATTGTACCCAATGGAAAATTGATGTGGGCACGCCACCACAGCGGCGTACATGTATCATCTTTCTCAACGGGCTCTGATGGATATTTTCGCTTCGACATTGACGAGACTCTTGGCCGTTTATCTGCACCAGCAGAACCACTTTTGCTGTATAAGAAAGCTCTATATCATGCTGTCACATCCTTCTGTGTACCAGATGCTCTAACAGGAGTAACCGGAACGGAGGAAGCAATCCGCATCCTGAAGTCTGGTACAGCCCAGCCATGGTCACCTGATTGTTTTCCGAACCTTGAAGAGTTCATACCCCTGCTTCCTCAACGAGATTACTATCCTGCAGAGTTAAAACGTTTACAGAGGGTAAAATGGAGTCAACTGCTTACAGTGACAATTCAAAGCGACCAATTCGAAATATTCAGGAGAAGGCGGCTAAACTCGCGAAATTTTCTCAAAACAAGGATATTCTCCCGATGCCTTTGAGGGAGGAAACCCAACTACGGCTCCGTGCAAAAGCTCGCCGCTCGCTATATGAGCGGACAATTGAAGACACCGCATACTCACGGCAGGCCGATAAAGCTTACGTTTCTCGTGACAGATCACTAGATGCCAATAGCCGCCAAGTATACAGATTTGCCAACATGATACGCTCGAGCTCACCCCATGTCGAGATCAAGCGCAGTCTGCAGGAAATTCTTGAAAGCTGGGACTATATTGATGGCTTCAAGGATAGTTCTCTGTTGAGTGTTGAGCCTCTTTTGAATCAAATGGAAGACCCGATCAATCAGCGCTTAGGTTCACTTATAAACTTATGCTGTGACGAAGACAATGTATTTTCGTCAATCTTTCAGCTAAGTTTAATCCTTTTTCGCCCACAGGCTGATATGGACGTTGTTAAGTTTGTGGCAGCCTTTTGCTGTATCAAGGAGCTCAGAGAATTGGAGCGTCCACAGTATTCTGGCTTTTCGCGCTTCAAAGAACGCGGCCCACCTTCAGTCAAGATCCTTCAGCAGTTCATCACCGAAGCGTTCATGCCGTGTCCCCGGGTGTCTAATAACGAGCATAAGCAGCAGAGAAAGAGAGAGAGTCACGAGAAAGAGTGTGAAATCCAAGGAAAGTTGTTTGCCGAAGAACTTTTAAAATTTTGGCCCGAGCTTCCAGATTGTATTGACTTCGGCGAGGCCCATGCTCTACCTCTTATCAATATTTCCGTTGCCTTAAGAGCTATCAAGGCAGACTGGGATCGCAGAAAGCAGAATGATGTGTTGGCGGCCTATGTAGGTCAAATTGATGCAAATATCTCGCATTATCAAGAACAATACGACGGCTCAGGCTGCCACTCGACGGAACCAGGACATTGGCAGCCGCGAATCTCCAACTTTCCCAATGCCAAACATCAAGAGATTATACCATCTATTTCGCAGCATCTTGTGGTTAAAGATGGCCCAGAGCTTTTTCGACTGTGTGGCCATTTCAAATCTACTAAGCGAACATCACAGGACAGCAAACTTCAGCAAGCGCCACCTGAACTTGTCGAACTAGGTCAAATACTAGACTCCTTTTCTAGCTCGCCAAATACCCTTCGTCGTGATTATAGCGGCGACCTTCGCAGCAGCTTGGAGGCTTTGGAGCATAACAGCCATGTGACAGGTGCCGGTTCGCTGACTTTCATCCCTGAAATGATGGAGATCACGGATGCCATCGAAGACACCCAGGCCGCTGCAGCCACATATCTTGAATTGATCAAGGACGGGCTTTGGTCAAGCGATACTCGGTTCAAGTGGCTCGAATTAGGAGACCTTTTGCCGTGCAAAACTCCTATTGAGATGCTTGAACTTTTGCAATCTCGCGCTAATCATAGATTTGGCCATCAGATGAAAGAAGCCCTGATACATTATGGCTGCGCAATTGCCGAAATCCAGAGGTTAACCCGTCTGAGATCAGCTATTCTTCGTGAGGATCAGCGAGCCATGTATGAAGAGCTTCACAATGTTGGCCATGAGAACTGGGATCCTGTGCAAGAAGATTCAGATTGGCTGCTACTTGAGATTGACAGCAACATGTTGATTCGCACGGATCAAGTTGACGTTGCCCGAGCAATCATTAATCCCGTTTCGGGCAAGAATAGCGTACTACAAATGAACATGGGGAGAGGTAAGATGTGGCAGATTACCCAGATCCAGACCAAACACTAACATGTATTCCACAGGCAAAACATCATGTATCATGCCCATGGCCGCGGCTACGTTGGCAAATGGCATGGATGTATCCCGCCTTATTGTCCCTAGGGCTCTTGTAATGCAAACAGCTAATATGATACACGCACGACTCGGCGGCCTCGTCGGACGAGGAATTTATCATATACCATTCTCGCGACAAACATCCACGGCAGATCATATACTTCAGCTATACAAGGAGCTGCATCATGATATGCAAAGATCCAGAGGTTTAATCTTAACGAGCCATGAGCATGTGCTATCGTTTAGGCTATCAGGGCTACAGCGCCTCGCAGATAGTAAATCCAAAGAAGCCAAAACAATGATCACCTTCCAGAAATGGCTTGATACCCACTGTCGAGATATACTGGATGAATCAGATTTCACACTGTCTCCGAAAACCCAGTTGAACTATCCTAGCGGATCAGAAGATGCTGTCGACGGGCATCCATTCCGATGGCGGGTTGCTCAGGGCCTTCTATCCATGGTGTGCGAGTATGTGCCGCGATTACGGAAAAGTTTTCCAGGGAGTATAGAGGTTCTGGAAACATCTAGCTGGCTTCCTACTATTCAATTCCTACGTACTGATGTCGAAGATGAGCTTCACCGGCTCATAGTAGAAGATGTCGCTGCTGGCAAAGCTCCATTCCTCTACAGAGAAGAGTCGGTCAATGAAGACACGCGAACAGCTATCAAGCGAGTGCTTTCTGAGAAAAATCTTGATAGAAAGTTATTCAAGAAAGCGGTCAATTCTTTTTCACGCCCCGAGAGTGCGAAGAAAATGCTACTCACTGTTCGAGGTTTCATTACTTGCAAGATACTGGTGCTCTGCCTAGCAAAGCGATGGAACGTGCAATACGGCCTTCATCCGCACCGGCCTCCCGTCGCAGTCCCTTATATGGCTAAAGGCGTGCCCTCAGAGTTATCCGAGTACGGTCATCCGGATGTTGCCATCATTTTGACATGTCTAAGCTTTTACTCAGCTGGACTGTCATACGAGCAGTTCCGACAAGTCATAAAGCATGTATTGGATTCGGAAGATGCAGCGTTTGAGTACGAAAAGTTAACTTCAGGATCAATTCTGCCTCCTTCTCTACAGCATTGGAATTTTATCAATCTCGACGATGAGTCCCAGATGAGGCTGCTTTGGGAGCTTTTGTGCCGAACTCAAGTTTGTACCGACTATTATATGAACAACTTTGTCTTTCCACCTCACGCGCGGCAATTTGCTATAAAATTGCAGGCTTCTGCTTGGGATATTCCTCAGGCTACCGAACCAACAAAAACTCTCAGCGCGCGAACGACAGGCTTCAGTGGCACCAATGATAACAGGTACTTACTACCGATGACAATTCAGCAAGAAGATCTCTCCGATCTACTTCAGACCAATGCTGAAGTTCTATCGTACCTGTTGCAGCCTCGAAACAGAGGATACGCTGTCTTGGTGGACCGCAATCGGCGGCGTCTCAGTGAGAAGGATATGCTGAAAGAGCTATCGAAACGTGATATTAGGGTTCTGATAGACGCTGGTGCATATATTCTTGAGATGGGAAACCGAGACTTGGCTAGGCTGTGGCTCGAAGTCGACAAGAAGAAGGTAGACGCAGCTGTTTACTTTCGTGCCGACAATAGTGCTTGGGTTACCTTCAAAGATCCGGCGAAGCGAGATGCACCGCTGCTTGCGACACGACTAGCGAATGACTTGAAAGATTGCGTTGTCTATTTTGATGAGGCTCATACCAGAGGGGTTGACCTGAAGTTGCCTGAAGATGCTCGGGCGGCACTGACTCTGGCACTCAAGCAGACGAAAGACACAACAATGCAAGGTAAGTATCTTCTTCATTATCCCATATCACTCTGTGATTGTTCACACGAACCTTTCAAAGGGTAGTTTAAGCTTGATGAATGATGAGTTGGTGAAATTGAATGCTAACGCTCGGATCTCACTGTAGCGGCCATGCGCCTTCGACTACTACGTACAACTCAATGTGTGACTTTCTTCGCGCCGCCAGAAGTCAATATGAGCATCAGGGATATTTGCGGTCAACGATTCCCTATTGAACACTACATCGAGTCTCCTCACGTCATTTTCTGGCTCTTAGAACAGACCTGTCGGGCAAATGAAGACTTGCATCCATTATTCCGGGCGCAAGGTATCGATTTCTGCAGACGCGCAAATGCAGTGTTGCAGTACCCAGACGTCCTTACTTCGGAGTCTTCTAAGTCTAGTCTTGTCAAAATACTGCAACAGCAAGAGCATCAAACTCTGGAGCAGCTATACGGCGGCTCGACTCACGATCCATTGCAAAGTCTCGGAAAATTGAGCTCGGCTCGCCTTCAAGAATTCGTGGAGAAGCTATCTCGAAACGATAGTACTGACGGCTGGCAGCAAGATGCATTTGGCGAGGTGGAGCAAGAACGTGAGCTCGAAGTACAGCTTGAGACAGAACGCCACACAGAAAAGCCCATCCACTACGAGGCATTCCCATTTCCAGGTCTGAGCTCAACTATCCTAGGTTTCTTGAAGACTGGGGAGCTGGATACTGCCGCTGGAGAAGTCGATTATGCCTTTGACTACATTGGTCAGGCGGAAGTTGGTAAAAAGCATGAGATTTGTGGTACTGGATCGAGATTCTTTGTCTCAAAAGAATTTGGTCGTACAATTGTGCACTATAAAAAAAAGAAGAATCCGGGCGATCGGTTCTTGGTAAGTCTAGTTGCCAAATATGCATATTCAGTCGCGATGCTAATTCTGAAATTAATTTATAGCGTCCTGTGGAATGGATTCTCTGGAGCGTTTCCACCCAGACCGCCCTGGTTGTCATTCCAGAAGAAGCGGAGCTGCTTATTCCAAGGCTTCGACTCGCCGATAACGAATCGAAAGTGCATCTCATTGCCTACGCTGCGCCCATCACACGAACTATGACACCTTTCAACCAGCTTCGGTACTATACATTCCCGCCAATCCCCCTCGATGCTGAATTCCCTTCGTGGTTCAGAGTGGAGCTGGGCGTTCTAGCAGGCCGCCTCTACATGGACTACGAAGACTGGAGTCTCACAAACGCGTTCATGAGGGACTCCCAAGCGGATACTCCAATTAGCTCTGCGTTTCTGTTGGAATGGCTTGGTGTTCGCTGCCGAGCGAATGATGTGCTCCATACTCCAATAGGTTACATCTGTCTTGGAAAGACACCAGCTCACGACCATCCCTTTTTCGCGCGAACTACCTCTATAACGACTTCGATGCTCAAAGCCTTGCCAACTGATGATACTGTCGAAGAGCCAGAGAATGAAGAATGGGAAGAGACAGATAGTGAAGAATGGAAAGAGGCAGAGGAGGGAAATTGGGAAGAGAATGCGCCTGATGAGAAATGAGTGTTGATATTTTGATGGTGTCTACACTGTCTTCTTTTAAATTCCGAATGGGATGTCGACTGAATTCACTTGGATGGGATATCTTTGAAAAGATTCAATATGGTGATTTGGTCTCGATTTAAGAGAAAGTTGTCAGACATGTAGTGATCTTGGAAGAAATGTACTATGACTATTCGGTCGAGCCCGATAGGGGACATCTATTTGGGATAAAGCTGTTAGAGATATTTGTAAAGAGATATTTGTAAAGAATTATTTACTACGAATTGGCTTGAGAGGATGCATGAATAACATTTGACCTACCATTACTTCGAACCTTACTTATCGCCACCTACACTTGTACATTGATGAATGCTACTCCAATAGCTCCATACACACGACTCTCCAGGCCTTGCCTCCTCGTCCACTGCCCTATTCTAAACTAGATCACCGGATTAATACCCTGGCTCCAGTACAAGGGGGCAAGGAATAGACCATTGTACTATACATCAGCCTCTTTTGGCCGCCTGACTTCATCTAATCCAATAAGAGGACACTCCTCCAAGTCGTATTAAGAGTCTTTACCCCCATCTAGTGCCCGATTAAGACCTAATATGGTAATAAAATATTACTATAAGTGTCCCATATACGCCTCCTTACACGCCCCATCTCTGTCTACGTCTACATACCTACACCCCCCTTTTCCACTCCAACTCATCTCCATAACGCCTCCCAAAAACAGACACCGGCGTAGCCGTCCTTTTTTGCCTCCAACAAAAAGTTCCTTCTCCTCACTTTCTATCTCTTCTCCGCTATCTTTTCACCCCTCCCCCCTTTCCTCCATTATACCTCCTCCCCCTCCTTGGCACACAGCAGACAGCCCCATCTTCTACTCTAGGTTCAGCTTAGTCTATCAATACTTTACCCCAGCTCTACTATTACATGAGGAGCAAGAGGGGTAAAAAAAAAGAAATTAGTTTGACTTACATCTTCAAATCGTGTCGAGTTTTGGGAGGGGGGGGCAGTGTGTGCTTAGCGCCAACATAGAGCCTTGAACAACTGGCCCCGATACCGAGATTCGTCCGGTTGCGAAAGCTATCTGGATGAGGGGGAGGTCCCGACGCCGTTAGTCTTACTGCATTACAAGCCCAAATCCGTTCTTCTAGTAGCTTGGCTTGGTCTTCTTTGGTCGTCTTTCTCGTAGGTTAGCTGGCTTGCCTCGACTGGTGAGTTGGGGAAACTCAGCCAATTTTGAGGTGGCTACGATCTCCTTACTGAATACTATAGTTTTTTTAGGATTTTTTACGAATTGAGGGTATGAAAGAAAAGCATATAAGAATATTCGATACAAAAAGTTGTTAAATTCGAAGCTAAAAAGTTGCGCTGTTCAAGTCTCCCTGAGCAGTCAGATATCGTTCCCTGATCGTAAAGTAACCCATATTCCATCACAAAATAAATCCCATAGCCCAACTCCTCCAGGGGTTCCAAGCCCTGTCCATATTTACCCATCGCTCAAATTGCAAAAACATCTGAGCAGTTGTTGCTGAATCCTATATACCTTACTCAGCCTCCTAAACATCGACCGCCTTCTCCACATACTGAACCTTCTCGTCCTTATCGTCTCCATCGCGGTGCAAGATAGCAGCCTCAAAAGAAGAGAAGATGACATCATCATTTCCAGTGCGTTCTTCGCCCTCTCGAACGAATTCCCACTCTGAACGGGTAAACCTCTCGAGAACTTGAGGAGCCATGTTGACGAAGCGGAATTGCAACTCCTTGCCCAAGTATTTGCGCAGAGACATCTTTAGCTCGATGAGTAGTAGAACAGCAGTTGTGTCAATAAATGAAATCATCTCGAAATCAAGGACGATGTAACGCAAAGGATAAGCGTCAGTTGAGATGGGCGTGATTTGTTCGCGGTGGCGGATCTTGGCGACTCGTCTTTTCGTAGAGTCGTTCCAAACACGGTTGGCTTCGGCAGCCTGTACCATTGCCGTTGAAGCATCGTAACGGACTTTGATGTCCTCAACAATCGAATTCTTGAGCCGTTCTGCGTTGGGAAACAGCATATCACTAGTAAATCTGACTAGATATGCCTCCGAAGGAACATCAATCTCTGAGTCCTTCGGGCGGCTCTTGGAGAGTGACCAGTGGTTATTCTCTGCCTGCGAATGAGAAATTTTGACCAGACGGGGGAAAGCAAGCCTGAGGAGAGTGTAGACGATACTGAAGCCGACAGACACGGCAAGGCCGATCTCCGTCGTAGTGAAAAGGGTGACCCAGAATCCTAGCATCGAAGCGACAAAATCAATGAAGCTAATCCTCCAGTATCGATAGAAGAGCTTTGGGGGAGAGACTAGATGAGCAACAGCCATGATCTAGAAATAACGGAGCCTGTATTAGTATATCAAGCGTGTACCGGTAAAACGAGATAACGGATAAACTTACAATGATAGCAGCAAGAGTGGCCTTGGGGATCCAGTACAGAGCTGGAGCAAGCTCATAGAGAGTCAAGAGAACAAATCCGGCAGTAAAGATAAAGTTCAACGGAGACCTTGAGCCGGCCTCGCTAGAAACAGCTGTACGACTCATGGCACCTCCAGACGCCATCGAGCCTTGAATACTAGCAATCATGTTGGCGGTACCGAGGAACAACAGCTCCTGCGACCGGTCAATGTCATATCCGTTTCGTAGACCGAAAGCCTTTCCAACTCCAAGATGTTCGATAGACATGGCAATAAACGGGGCCACAGATCGACCGGCCACCTTGGCGAGCAGGTTGGTGTCATGAGTCTTAGCCTTGGCAAGTCCATTGGCATCGATCTCAGTCACAGCCCACATATAGTTCTTCTCGCCGCGGTTCTTGTTAACGCCCCAAGAGATGAGAGTGTAGATGATGAGAACAACCGCAGCTCGACTGGTGCAAACAAACTTGATCCATTTGTTCTTTTTGCCGATGGTCTTGCCAGCATGCTCAAAGACTAAGAGCATCGCAATGCCTGTCAATCCAATGCACGCTGTCATTCCTTGGATCTTGTCAAGGTGGCCGAGGACACCGCGAATGATTTCCACAGTTGTAGAACCGACAGTCAAGCCGACCAGGGAGCCGACTTGCCCAAGCAAGATGACCAAAGCAACCGCTGAGATCCACCCAGTCAAGACAGGGCCGCTGACGAAGTCGAGGAGGAATCCAAGTTTGAGGGCTCCAACAATAAGAGCATAGACGCCAACCATGAATGCCACTGCTGAGGCAACCGTAGCCGGGTCTTCATCAGGCATAGAGGCAACTGCCTCTGCTGTAAGAAGACCAAGGACAGATGTCGGTCCAGCGGATATCTCTAAATCGTCGGAAGTACAAAGAAGCCCAAGTCAGCCAATCTGGAACAAACATACTTATAACGATCATTTAAAAAAAGAAGGGGGGGGGAGAGCGGTGGATATTCGTTTCACTCACCTTTTGAAGTTCCCATGAACAGATAGAGTAAGGACGGAATCCAAGCAGAGTAGAGACCATGCACCACAGGGATGGTAGCAATTTTAGCATAAGAAATACCCTGTGGCACAAACATCACACCAACGGTGATACCAGCGACAAAGTCGTTCAAAAGCCATTTGGGATTGTATCGAGGCAGCCACTGGATGATGGGAAACTTCTCATAGAGATACTCAGCCGCGGCAGATGGGGTGCGACGAGCAATAGGCCCAGCCCAGCGCTTGACTCTATTGACATTAGCATCCGTCTGATAGGCCGTGACAACATCTTCTTTGGCCTCTGATAGCTTCTTGGAAACTTTATCCATTGTGACGATCGGGGGGGCTCGGGATATGTCCGTTGGAGCCAACCAGTCTGGAGGTTCGGAAAGGTCTCGGAGTTGCGGCAACTCAACAAGCCTCAGTGCAAACGTATATATAAATAAGAGCTAAGGCCGTTCTTGATGATATAGATCGAGCCAGACACCAATGCTCATAACCCAGGGGTTGGAGAAAGAGGGGGGGCCTCTCTGACTCTATATAGGTGTGAGTATGAGAACTCTAAAACGAAGAGCTCTCTTCTGGCGATGATTGACAATGCCCAGGCAAAGTTGGAGAAAGCAGCTGCTCTAAGCTGAACGACTATGCAGTATTCGGATTCAAGAAGTCGACGCGAATGGAGGGTGCCCTCTCAAGGTACCGGTCCTCAGATGTGGCCAAGCCCCGAATCTGTTGCATGCAGCACACCAACTTTATCCGAACAAATACTCTCCCTGGGCACAGTAGAAGGCGAAGACGAGTCACACCAACTTTAATCCAATCGTTAACGATTCACCGAGAGGGGTAGCATTGGGAGCTAAGAATTGCCTCGACGGCAGCCAAGCGCGAATCTCGAGACACACACGCGACTGCCTGTCTCGGCAGTATTTCAACGTTCCTGGGCTGAGAGTATCGTGCCGGATGTCGTTCATTTTCCCAATACGTTCCGTCAGGATAAATGAGCAATTGCTCCGTGCATGCAACGCCGACAAGCATGTGTCCATCCCCCTATCCTCTTGTACAAATTACATACATAGTAGGTATATGTGCTTCATACAAGTATATGCTCGTACCGTACTAGTGTGTCATGGACAAGCGGCCGCATACTGAGCTATGCTTATGGCCGGACTCTCGAGATCCATGAGATTGACAGGGAGGGTAGCTCTATACAGGCCTCCATGTAGGTAGCTCAAGGGCCCCTTTCTCTCTTTCCCACCCTCTGCCTTATTTTAGTACCACTTATGCATAAAGAACGACTCTTAATTCTAATCAGAAAGAAAGAGCAAGTATCAGCTTGGTAAAACAAACACTCTCCAAATTGATGGGAAACATTCGTTAACAAACTTCTCTAGCTTGTACAATGGCCCCAAAACAGGCTGAACCTAACCGAGGACCATTGGAGAGGGGACAAGCATGGCATCTCACTTCTCACGGCAACGAGCGAGCTGTAAAGAGTCGTATTTAGTCCATTTGCTGTAATAGCTAGCCCCCTCAGTGGCGTTTTTTTGACGATA